TAAGGAGTGGTCTCATTGGATCCATCCCCTATATATATATATATATATATATATATATATATATATAGAGAGAGAGAGAGAGAGAGAGAGTTGGGATCAAATGAGAATTGTAGATACCGAAAGAAATAAGAATAAATCTGTATCATTGGATCCAACATATCAATGATCAGGAGTATCGGTAAATCACAATGCATGACACTTTTTTATAGCGTCATTAATATGGATTAATATGACATGAACTTGTATTGTTGGTAATTTTCAATAAATTATATTTATTTAAGTGAATCATTATAATTTTTAGTGACGCAAAATATATGTGTTAAGAATTATCAATATACGACATATTTTTAATACGTCGTTGTTATGAACTTGGCAACAATATTATGTCAAGATTTTAGTTACACTTGCCAACACTAACTAATTAACTAATATCATTAAGTGGTGACAATGGTATTAAAACAATGTCGTTGAGTTAAGATTCATATTTGAATAACGTTGTCAAGTTCTAGACATTATAAAAAAAAAATATTGTGTTATCAAGTTCTAGACGTTATTATAAAAAAATTTAATGTTATCAAGTCCTTAGTGTCGTCAAAATTATGACGCCTATAAGAATAGAGTTGTCAAATTAGATACACATATAATAATTTACATCTTCATACTAGAGATTCCGTAGTGAAATAAAAGTTATTATAATAAAACTCGAACGATGATAATATCAACAATAAATGTAGAAAACAAATAAAATGTTGAAATTCTAATAACATAATAAAAAGAAATCACATCATTGTCTAATAAAACAATTCTAAATAATTCGAAAAAAATGTAGAATAAACAAGGTAGGTGACGATATTTGTGCCCGTCATACGCTCCTTACATTAAGTGCAAACATGTTTTAAAATAAAATAACAAAAATTGATATCAATTTCTATTCATCAAAGTGACCAAACTAGAAAAAAAAAATAATTTATATATGAACACCAGAAACAATTTCACATGAAACATTTAAATGTAACTACTTACCAACATACACTTCAAGAGGAATCATGTTTTTCCAGCACTTTCTGAGAAGTCGAGCATATTCTACAGAAAAACAAGACACCAGATAATATCATTATATTACTTCACCATCATGATAATAAAAATTGAGAATTTATATGACATAATGAAATGAATATAAAAGTTTACTTGTGACATTATTTCTCTAAATTCCAATAATTCCCTTTGCATTTGATTCATGTCGTCTTTTAAATTTGCTATTGTATTTTCATATTCAGCTGTCACGTTTTCTATCTTTGTTTCATAAGTGGGCTGCATCTCACCAAGTTCTTTTCACATACATTCAAGATCACTTGATTGTCGTTCTTTAAGTGAAAGTTTTGACATCACCAACTTGTGTCGGGGTTACCTCTAACCCATATCATTTAACTTGTCCATACTAATCTGCTCCTAAGAGTTCACGGAAGACTTCATTTTGAAGTATATCTGCATCTCCATTTTGCAATGTTGCACTACGTTCTAAAATCATTTGCGTAGCTATGTCTTATAAAATAAAATTGACAAAGATTTAGAGAAAGTAAAATTTCTTACAAAACTAATTGAGCTTTATATATCATTAACAAGAAAAAAAGGACATTTATCGCTCTTATGTAAACAACCGTACATTAAATGATTTATCTAGTTTATAATAATACATAGTTGTTTTTGTTTTCACTGCGACTAAAATTAAGAATGGCTAAAGACATTACCACTATTTTTTCAACTTTTGGGTTGACAAAGATTCCATCTTTTTTTTTTATGCGTTATTACAAAAAAAGTCCATCCGTTCAGGTTGCTTCTCATTTTTCATTTTCTACCATTAAAATTTATTTAACTTAAACTCACCAGCTAGAGAACAACTAAATGAGAAAATTATTAATGGATGAAAAAATAGATAAGGTGAAACTGGAATAATTCGGTCTTCGGGTTATTTAAAGGTGGAGAGGAATGTGGGTCGATCGACCTTGGCCGTTGGATTGCGATCGATATCAACGGTCGGGATTTGGTCGGCGACTTGGAAAGGCGATTCAGGCAGGACCGTTGGATCGTGGCTAAACCGATGGCCCCGATTGAAAGAGATGAAGTTGAAAAGACAGGTCGTGGTGAGCCGTTGGATTGGGGCTGATATCAATGGTTGAGATGGGGCAAGCTAGTTAAACAGACAGCGAGGGTCTGACTGTTGGATTATAAGAGAATCGAACAGTCAGCATTAATGAGGCATTTAATGGGTACATGGTGGAGGCCAGCGCGATTTACGAAGAGGTGATGTCAGCCAAACGTTTTGACTAATTGGATCTGACAAGATGGTAGAAATTCTAATTTTCAAATTCAAAATGAAGACCATAGGGGAGGTCGAAAAAGGTGTTGCAAAACTCATGTGCACAGACAGGTCAAAAAACAAAGAGTAGGAATTCACCAACCAAAATCAAGGACAAATCTACTCTTAGATTGAGTTATCCTAACTCGACCAGAGTGGGGGACCAGATGATATGGGATACCACACCATGAAGAGCAAAACTTTGCCAACTAGGCCGAGCAAACAGCCTGGTCGAACATGGTCGAAGGAAGGTCGAACGAAGGTCAAACGCCAGTGCAAAGTAAAGAGTCTTTAGGACGAAAAAGACATGAGGAGTTCAGGGGAGCAGCGACAGGTCGAACTAGGGCCCTCGGATGGCCTGTGGAAACTCAATCTGACAGCATGGTTGCTCGTATGATCGACCAGAAAGATAATACTTAGGCTTGAAACATGCAACATTCTACCTCTTTAGGGTTCGAACTGGTCGAATGATTCGACGGTCTAATGAGAAATACTAATGGATAATAATAAATAATAATAGGATAAGGACAACACATGAGTAGGGCCATGTAACCTAACAGAATTGAGCAGTTCGGATAGATCGGACAGTACGAACGGGCAGTTCGCGCAGCCCAGTCGGCCATTTTTGGGCAACAAGGTATCATTTCCCTATATAAGAAAATGAAGTATGCCCAATATGATATTAAATTCTCTATATACATACTGCGCTTCATCTCCTACAAGTGCTAACTTAAGTACCAGAGGCTCTTCACCAGAAAACTTCTCCGATATGAGAGTTTTTCCAAGTCTCAAGGATGTTCAACTGGCGAGGAGCTCAAAGCAGGTCGAATCTAAGCTGGTCGGAGGCCTTTTGTGTGCCAAGACTGGAATCATGCCCAAATATGCAATTTTTAACATATATAAATGTAAAATACATTATCCCAAATGTTTAGTTATGTATTCATCGAACAAGTTGTGAGCATAAATTCAAACTAAGTATATTTCTCAATTTTTCAGCACAATCAATTCCTATTAGCTCTTGATCATTACATAACATAAGAAATATGTTCATAGCCCCATTAAAACAAACATTAATCAACTAAATTGTTACAAATTTGTAAAGTAAAATTAGATTAAGTAATAATTGGTAATTTTTTTTTTTTTAAAGCTCCAATCTCTTCCACTTTTGAGAATGAAAATTAAAGAATTACTGGTTGATCTTAAAATATATAGGCTTAATTGCACTGGACAAATATTTACATTGGGGTACATAATAAACAGTAAAGTAAATAAAATAAATAAATGGGGCTGGAGCCCACCCTAGTCCAACAGTAGCTCTGCCCCTGGTTGTTAGCCTCCAATTGTGAGCTCCAATCAAGCGGCGTAGACGTCGGCTAACCACGACCATGAATCAACAGTGATGACGTGGAGAAGAGGCGGAGGAGCACAGGTGGCAACAACAAGGAGATTTCCGAGTATGGGGTGCAGCTGGGGGTGCCTGAAAACTGGGAGNAGAGAGAGAGAGAGAGAGAGAGAGAGAGAGAGAGAGAGAGAGAGAGTCAATGGGGTGGGGCACATGTGATAGAAATGTCCAAAATTAATTTTTTTAGTGTATTATTTTAATTCTTTTTTGTAATTTGATTATCAGATCTTATGCCTATAATGCAATCTATTTTTTTTTTTCACGGACAACCATTTGAATTGAGTAATGTTTTAAAAATGAAATAATGATATAACTGTTATATCTAAATACATTTTTAGCAACAATATATATTTATTAATTACAAAAGTATAAAATGTTACTAGTCAGAATCTTAAGCATAGAGGTATTGAGTCTTCCAGAGCTGTGGAGAGGACATAGAGACACTAGAACATTTATTTTTCCAGTGTAGAAGGGCTCAATTAGTTTGGAAACTGGCACTGGTGAGCTGAGATTACAATGAGAAAGCAAGCCACAAATTCAAACGCTGGTGGTGGTCTGTGTGCTCTGTGGACGGAAAAGCTATTTCAGAAGAAAGAATTCAACTCACCACATACATCTTCTGGTAGCTTTGAAAATCCAGAAATTTATGGAAATTCCAAGGAAGCTTAATGCCTGAAGTAACAGTTGTTGATACAGCTGTGACAGAGTGGGCTGAGTTCAGAGATAATCAGTTGTTGTAGTGATTTACTATAGGGTATGTAACTACCCAGGTCCTTCTGGTTCAGTGGATGGTTAATTCCTATTGGTGACTGCTACTTGTGTTAGCTGGGTGTGGAAGTTTGTTTGTTTGGTGCTACTGGTTGCTGTTGAAGGTCCCTGTTGTCCTGCTGCCTTTAGTTTGCTATTTGTTGCTATGCAGTTGGAGTTAGTTTCTGCTTTATTGCTCTTTGCATGTTGGCCTAGTTTTTTCTGTTTCTAATCTTGTTGCTAGCTGTTGTTTATGTTGTACTCTGTTTTTAGAGCACCACGGTGGGTGTCTCTCCATGTTGTTTGTATTTTTTTCATTAGGGCTAGTGGGCTCTCCAGTTGTACAAACTCTGTATTTGGCTTTTCGTTTTTTATTGTGTAATCTATCGT